CAACCCACCTTTTTCAGCCTGAGGAACATATTCCTTAGAGACTGGGCTTCTGCCTGCAGAGGTCCTGTTGGCTGGCCAGGCTCCAGTTTGAAGATTGGTGCCTAGAAGAGAGATACCAAAAGGAATCAAAACCTGAGATCATTCTCAGGGGAGCAACTAAAAGTGTCCATTCAGCAGAAAACCAAACTTCTGCCTGCTCTGAGCACTCTGAGCTCAGGAAGATTTGGGCAGCCATTGCAACTCCTTGTCCTCTCTTGGACACTGTTTCCAAACAAAATTTTGCCTTTTCATAGTTTCGACTATGATTTTATATATAACACATGCTTGTTAAAAGTTTGTTGAATTTTCCCAACACAGACTCTTGCCAAAATAGTAATTTTTTCTATCCAGCATTAATAGACATGAGGGAAAGAATTTAAGGTATGTTGGCACAAGCAGTGAAGAGCATGGCCTGAAAGACCTCTGAAAGAAAAGAGGCTTTCAATTACTTGCCTATGTACTTTGGAAAAGGGACACATTTTTATACACACTAGAATACATGTTTGCATTAACCTAGGCAAACTCTTTGAACTCCATAGATTTTATGAAAAATATGTGCTCAAGAATAGCACAAAAGAGTGGAAAATATATGTAATGATGGAACTGCCTCCTGTCATTTAGAGTTCCAAGACAGTTAATGAATTTTCAAAGAGTAACATGAGAATTTATAACAGCAATATAGAAATTTGCTCCCAAATTTGGTAGTAAAAAATCTTCAATTTTCTGTTTGAAATTGTAAAAACTGTACTTCACTAGAATCAAGACTTGTTGAGGGTAAAATCTCTTCCAAGAATGTAAAACTTGAGCTACTGCACAATTCAGCAGGTGTGTAACTGAGGAAAGGTACACACAGATATAAAAACTAGTGATTCATTACTTTAATAAATGAAAGAAGAGTGAGAGAGGGCACACAAGTAAATTAAGCATATATATCATATGAAAGAGAATTAATATTGAAAAAGAAACTATCCCTTTTATAGACAGAATGAAACTACAAAATGTAAATACGTATGTGAGTGTCAGGAAGGCTTATCTCTAATATCTATAAAATTAAAGAAAAACATTAATTTCAATAAATTTATTTTCAAACTTTATGTTTACTGCAGAAGTACTACATTTGCTGTGGCAATGAAATACGTGACAGTCAAGATCTCTTTGGGAAAACTAAAGGAACCAAAGGAATTCTCTTAGTTAAAAACGTAGAGCTAAGGTTAATGACATCTTTAAAAGAGAAGTATTAATTTCTGAAAATATTTATTCTAGAAATGAAGTTATGTTTATATTTTTCTTGAATTTGAAGTTGTATAATTATATTTTTACAAAGACAATTATTCTTCATTAATGGACCAGTCAACAAAAATTAATGGCAATTTATGGAATTTTTCCCATTAGAGCAATGGGTTCGTTGTGCATTCAGGAAGATTGTGTGGGTGAGACATTCTGGCAGTCTGATATTAAGTGTGGGTGTTAATCTGCATATTTTAAAATGCTTCATTCTCAAGTGTAGCTTATTCCCTACTGAGTATGTAGACTGTAATGCTCAAAAACTGAATATGTTCTCTAAACAAAGGCTGGCTGTCCTCCTAATCTGACCTCTCACAGCATGCCATGCTTGTGATTTTGCTTTTATGTGTAAATGCAAGTCATGATTGCTTTGCAATTTCTACTTCTTCATACTGAAAGCTATTCTGAAAGACGCAAGTCCTTGCTGAATAGATTGTTTTGAAAAAGTGCTTAGTATAAAGACAGTATTGCATGTATTGAGTATCTTTTACTGAATGCAGGTACTGCAGGCATTAAGGGTGACAGGCCCTGGAGGGCACTAATGGGCCTGCCCATCCTCACTAGGGCCTCTACCAGCCTCCTACCTATTGTCAAGTTCTTCTTTAGAAGCTGTTCCTCGCTGAGTATGAAAACTTAACATTTATTGGTGAAGGATGTGTTTGAAAATAACTTCATCATTTTACCGAGTGGTTTAAAATAGATTGCAGCACGCACCCTCCCAGTCCCCTGTGATATTTCTTCTTTGGCCTAGTCTTGATTTACTCCATGCAAAGTAAAACCTGCAGAGGAGTCTGAACAAAGCTGGTGAAGGGTCTGGAGAACAAGTCTTAAGAGTGTCTGAAGGAACTGAGATTGTTTGCTTTGGAGAAGAGGAGGCTCAGGGAAGACCTTATCAATCTCTCTAATGACCAGAATGGAGAATGCAGTGAGGTGGAGGTCAGCTTCTCTTCCCGGGTAACAGCGATAGGATGAGAGGGAATGGCCTTAAGTTGTACCAGGGGAGGTTCAGATTGAGTGTTTGGAAACATTTTGTCTCAGAAAAAGTGGTGAGGAGCAGGCTGGTGAGGAGGTGGTGGAGACACTGTCTCTGGGGATGTTTAAGAAACAAGGAGACACTGAGGGGCATGGGTTAGTGGGCATGGTAGTGATGGGTTGATGCTTAGACAAGATGACCTTAGAGGTCTTTTTCAACTTTAATGATTCTATGATTCTGTTTTGAAACCTTACAGGTATTAGCAAGCAGGAAAGTAGGAAAGACACTCAACAGAATGAGGAACTGAGATGTTTTAACCAATGACCCGAAGACTGGAAGAGGTGCAGTGCTTCCTCTAACAAGCGTGCTTTGCTTCATCGTTTCCTGGTAGATCCCCTTGTTTTGCTGGCTTTTAAAGATGCTGTTATTTATTATCTGAGTTTTCACTAGAGTGGTACAGTAGCTGTGATCCGATTAGATGCCAACTAAATATCACCACATTCGACATCAAAGCCCCTATTTTTTTCTTTTTGATTGAATGGTGTTTCTGCCATGCAAACCTTGCTTCAGTGATTCATAACATTACTTCTTAACTTTGAATCTTTCCCATCCCAAAGAACGCTTTTGCAAGTAGCCAAATTAAAAAATCGCAAGAACGGAGGGGGGACAGTTTTGATGTGTTCTCCTCTCATTCCACCTCTAAGTGAACTAAATAAAGAAAACGCCGCATTTATTTATCGCAGTTCCCCGAAGCGATAAAAGCTCAAATTCCCCAGGGGCCGCGCAGCCGCTGCGGCACTAGGATCAAGGCAGACAGGCCGCCGGCGAGACTGCGGCACGGGGCAGTTCAACTCTTTTCCTCCGGGCCGCCGCTGAGCGGCCACGTCAACCCGGCCCCCCTTAGCAGAGCGAGCCCGACGGCGCTGGTTGGCGGGGCGAGGGGAAGCGGCGCGGCCGGAAGGGGCGGCTTCGTCGCCCGGGTGACAGGAGGCCGACATGGCGGCGCGGGAGGCGGCGGCGCAGCGCTGCGTGCCGAGCTTTGAATGAAGGGCGGCCGGAGGCTGCGGGAGCGGCCGCCTCGGCCCCTGGCGCTCCGCGCCTCCCGGAGAGCCCTCCCCGCCGGGGCAGGTGAGCGGGGAGCTTCCTTCACCGCCGGGTGCCCGCTTCCGCCTCGGTGCCGGAGGGCCCGGCCTGGGGGCCTTCCCGCCGCGGGGCCGGCTCTCTCGGTCCTTCCTAAATAACGCCTTTCAGCGCCCCGACGTCCTGGCTCCGGGCCTTGTCCGGCGACGGTCTGCCCGGCTGGGCCTGGGGAACGCGGGCCCCGCGGCCGCCCGTGCGCCTGCCTGCTGGAGTCGGGACGGCGCTGCGCGGGGTGTGCCGCGGGCCGGGAGCGACGTGAGGGCTGTGGGAATTGGCAGACGTTAGCAGGAAGGGAAGCGTCCTGGCACATCTGTGCGGTTCACATCTTTTTTCATTGCAACTCCAGTGCGTGGAGATGCCTAGGCTGAAGTTTTCTTTTATTTCTGCTGGCTGACAACTCATGTAAAAATGAATGTAAAAGTTGTAGTGTAGTATGGCTTCAAAGGGCAGCACATCTTTGAAAGACACACAGAAGTTAATTGCTCCCATCTGGTTTCTCTGCTGGCTCCGGGAAAAGCTTGGCCCTGGTTTGATCTGTGGGATAGGTGGTCACTTCTGGACGTGAGTTTGTGATGCCTCAGTTGGGTGTCTGATGAGAAACAACATGGCTGGTGCTTTATACTTGTGGATATGCTGGAAATAGCAGTGAGCTGTGTGAAGGTTTCTTCAAGCCTGATCTTGTCCTGTAGTGTATCTTGATTGTAAATATTTGGTGCTTGCTGAGGCAACAGGTGTTACAAGATGGCATTGTGGCACTAACAAGAAGAGTGTGTTAATCAATGATTTCTGGCGTTCAGTGTAGATGTGGGTAACTGACGTCCAGGGTGACCAATGAAAACTGGAGTAGAACTGGGGTCTCTTGAACTGTGGTCTGAGAACTGTAGTGCTGTGAAGGGGTTTACGTGAAGTAGTGCATTGTGTCTAAGACTTCAAGTCTGAGCAGTTATGGTGTAGTATCATGGGATTGTACAGCTTCCATCTTTGTGTTCTGTGTGCTGTTTTTTCAGAGGACAGTAGCATATACAGATAATGAATTTGACTGACTAGTTAGCAGATGCATATTTCTAGTTTAGTTAATCTTGCCTTAAAAACAGGAGCTGAAATCTTCAGGAGTTGATATTAACATGATAGAAACTATACTCGGATTCTTGGAGAGGAAGAGTTGAAATGAGGTGGTATTACTATAGAGGCTCTATTGCTCTAGGAGTTGTAGGTCTAAAAAGAGAAAAGTATAAGCTCTGCTCTTTTAACATTGTCTAGGAATAGTTTAGGAATGGCTAACACATTCTGGTTTTCTGTCTCAAATTAGAGAGATAAAATTTAGCTTTAGTATCCTCTGCAGCTCCTGGTAGTCTTGAAATATCTTCTTGGGTTTGAATACCTTGGATGATTGTCTCACTTCTATTAATCATAGGCATATTAATCTCTCCTAGATTCCCTGTAATTTCATGTTTGGTGTGCTTGCACTGGAAGATAGAATATCAGTGTTAAAACTGCAGTTTCTTGGGGACAGCCCTCTAACTGTATGTAGGCAGATAGAGGAGATACTTCCTGTTTGTTTTTTTTTCTTTGGTTTCTGCTTCTCTCTCTATTGCCATAGTAGCATGGCTACAAGATTGAGTCATGTTGCCATATAATCAATCAATTTATCTGAAAAGGTAAAGTCATTGTTTTCCCTTCTGCGTTGGTGTTCCTAATATTATGTTTCTGTATAAAGCAATTAAAAAAAAAAAAAATTGGCCTGGAAGAGAGGAGTGGAACCTCTTCAATAGGTTACAGGGTCATGGTTACTCTCTGAAATGCAGATCCTGGTAGTGACTTTCAGTACCTGACTGAATGCCTTTTTTAAAAAATACACTGTGCATCTCGTACTTTACACAGTTTGGAGGAGGCCTTTGTGCTTGAAAATAAACTTTGTTTTTTTAAGTTCTGTCTACAAATCTTGAGATTCCTTCTCCCTGTAAACCTACTTGATCATCTTTGGACTGGTGTGGTGATACTGTTTAAGATTTTATACAACATGGGCTTTTAGAGGTACTATCCTTGCCACTGAAGCTGCACAAATCATGTGGTGCTTATTTGATTTCTACTGGTTGGTTGTTTTACTGAAAGCATTCTGGTTCTGTGATGCCCTTGTTTTGATACTGACACCTGTGAGCACTCAAGGGCATGTTAGTCTTTTGTATGAGGAAATGGTTGTGTTTTGCTTAAGGAGGGTGAAGTTTTTTTTGTGGTTATTCATGAGGTTATGCAGTTGGTGGAGGAAACGTTCGGTTTCAGTGAAGTTATTTTTAATTTAGTTTAGACTCTTTCCCTTGGCTAATTATCTGTATTTAGTGCAAGTAAATGCTGCTGTTTCCAAGCTGTCTTCATTCCAGAGTCACAGATGAGCTGATATGAAAGAAAGCGCAATCTACTCACAAAGCAATGATAACTCCCATTCTGGCCATCTTGAAACCTGTTCTCGAACTCCTCTACCAAAACAGAAGGCACAGCTGCATGTTTTTTTGCTGTTCACAGTACTGTGCTTAGCCAGTGTGTCAAAAGCCATAAATTTATTTGCCATCACTTGAGTTAGTGCTGTGCCCTGTGTCCCAGTTCCAGCCCAGGTGTGTTCCTGGCTCACCAGTGTTCCATTGGTGCTGAGGGCCTGGCTCTGGTGGGAAGAGCTGCCGCCATGATAATGTGAGCAGGGGGCTGCTGCAGTGTGAGTGGTGCTGGGCTGCAGGCAGCCCATAGCCCACAGCTTGGACGTGCCTGGTTTAAGTAGTATTCGTGTGTGTAAGTAGGTATAAAAGAGGAAATGCTACTGCAAGCAACAAGGTGCTTGTTTTATAGTGATGGCCGATGAGAAACTTGTTTACTGTGCTTTGGTTGCCTAATGGCTGGGCTGTGTGTGCCATGCTGCAGGCAGCCTCCTGGCTGCTGTCAGTGCTGCCTGTGCTGAAAGCAATAGGTGATGTAGAAATGTTTCAGTTGAGTAAATTTCTGGGCTTTCTCTCCCTTCACTGTATTAGTTTTATGGATCCATAAACTGTTTTCAGGGATTAGTTGCCCTGTGCTTCTGACTTGCCTCTAATGTGTTTAACGTCTTGCTACCATGGTTAAATCTTTTCAGTGCACGCCTTCCATGTGAACAGTTGCTGTAACTTTTTACCAGTAGAAGGCAGCATGAGCTATATGAGTCAAACTCCTGCTAAATTGGGGAACTTCTACAAAACTGTTGCACTGGCTGCTAATATTAATTAGGATTCATGGTTTAATTAATATCTTTTTTTATTGGAGCTCAGAAGTTCAGTTACCAGTAAGCCTTCTAAATGTTACACATCAGAAGCAATCTTGATAATGGGAGGAGGAAAGCTCTATCCCATTTTACCAATGGGAAGCTGAAGCGTGAGGTGTGAAATGCACAAAGCTGTGTCAGGCTGACAACTCAACCAGATCTTCTGAATTTTAGTTCAGTGTTTTACCTCTGCCTCCGTCTATTAAGAAATGTTCCAGGATTCTTGCTGGAGTGCTGCCAGTCTGTGTTCTTTCTTTGTGCTGTACGTGGCTTTCTATCTTTCCAGTACTGGAGTAAGACTGACAGCAGAAAGAATGAACACTTTTGTTTTACTTATGAGTCTAATGTCATTGTATCAGATGTATTCAGTTTGCACCAAGCTCAGAAAATACAAAGATTCTTTGTACCTTTGTGTTTGTTCGGTTGTGTCTGAATATGAAATGATTGCTCTTTTAATTTTAGGCAGTGCTTAGAACAATAATGCAGATGCCCTAAGTGCTATTTTAGATGCCTGGGTGTAATGCTCTACTTGTCCTAATCTGTAACCAAGTGGTTGGTTTAAGAATCATTTTACATAGCTTTTGACATATAGCTGTAATTAATTCATATATACCACTTCATATCTTAATTAGCCATATAAAGTCTACACACATTGATGAAAGTACTTTTTAAAGTTGAATGAAATCGCTGTGTCTAGTTCTTCCTTCTTGTTGCCAAAACTGGGAGTCTGATAACTTCCAGTGTTGCGGGATTTAACTGGGGCAGCTGCAATTAAAGTTTAGAGAAGAGGAAGGCAAATGGTACTTTCTGTCTTGAAGGGCTTGGTGCTGCCATAGTTGAAGTGAAATGCAGCTCAGACATGAAGGCAGCACATGGTTGTGTCTCCTGCTCATTCAGCACAGCTGATGATCGCTGTGGTATCCTGCTGAACAGACATGTGGGTGATATTGGAAGCCTGTTCATTCATGAGTAGAAATGCTCTGGGAAAAATGCATTGATTTATGATGACTAATTCTTGTCAGCAGTCAACTTTTTTCTGAGCTACGGCTTGGTAGTATGGCCTGTAATTTAGTGGTTACTCAGATGCTTCAGCCTTCTGTTCTACAGTAAAAGGGCCCATTTATTTGGTAGCAACCCTGTATAATTTTTCAGCAGCAATAATTCCTTCTCTGTGCTGTATGTACCATATTACTACAGTGTTTAGTACTAGTTAAGACACCTAGCAAATGAGCACCAATAAAGTAAATCTAAGCTCTGTGTAGCTCACAAAACCATTATGTACTTTTTAATAAAATCCTCAGGGCAATATTGGAGCAGCCTACCTAATGATCCACCTTCCTGACTCTTCCTAACATAAAGCCTGGAATAATAAAAGTGATTTAAATGCCATAGCATATTTGAAATCAAGCTGTTCTTCCATGGAATACTCATGGCCTGAGGAAAATGTCACAGGCTGCCTTCTCTACTCACCAGGAGGTATGTTAAATTTGCAAGAGAAAATGTTGTTACAACTGTAGCTGTATATAATTAAAAACTGTTTGTGAAGCCTAATCTCTTCTTTCTTGCTCTGAAATGTTCACTTTTAAAAGAGAGAAAGAGAATCCTTGAATATTATTTAAGGGATCCTTGCATATTATTCTAACTTGTTTGCATTGTGCTTGTGCTTGAGGGGATCTATTGAAATAAATGCAGTATGATGAGTTTAAATTATCTAGATTGTCAATTTGACACTTAAAAATAGCAGCCAGAATAAGTGGTTCCAGCCAAAGGTCAGTTTTTGCTTATCTGAGTTTCCTAGCATGATCTGGTTCGGCATAGGGTCACTGATGAATCTGGGAGATTAACTTGTGCTGTAGTGCATGTGGGATGAACAGAATCTGTCACTTCTGATGAGTTTTTCAATGACACTGGTAGCTAAAATAGTGTTTGGTCTCGTCACACATCTCCAATTAAAATAACTGTAAAATTTAAGCCATCAGCTCTGGGTTTTCACTCAATGTTGATTTCCTATTCATCTTTTATTTATGTAGGCAAGACTTGGTTAAGGAAGTGTGAGCTTTTTACTGGTCATAATTCTTCTTGCATTGTTAGTGTCTAAAGTACATCAGCTGTACAATCACTGCCATTGACAGCAAGTGCTTCTCCTTCAAAAATATCTGTAATTGTATCTTTACCTATCATTGCCTGCAATTTGTTTAAAGACTGTGTTCATTATGTGCTTGTGTTATCTATATAATTGACACGTCCAGATAGGAGACAGAATCTGTTCCAGAAACCTTTTCCCTTATTTGGCAGTAATGTAACTTCACAGAATGCCCCGTTTATGAGCAACTAAGGAAATGGCTTGAAGGACTGTGTAAGGGTGTATGATGTGCTACATCTAACTTTTTTTTTTTTTTTCTTTTGCAGGAAGGGTTTCTCACCATGGCCATAACACAGTTTCGGCTCTTTAAAATCTGTACTTGCCTGGCAGCTCTGCTTTCTTTTATTAAAAAGTTAATATGCAGGTAAACTTAATTTGGTGGCTTAATTTGGTTACCTTTTCTGTTTTAATTACAGATTCTTTCTCTTCTTTCCTTCTCCCTAGAGCACACACACCTCTTTTCCTAATTCTGATTTTGCTACTAATTCAGACATAGAAAATAAGTCAAATTCATTCTTTAATCTGCATATTCCTTTGGAACTTAAGAGTCTGTGTAGTGCAGTTATGAGTCAGTGTGTTTTGTGTTATGTTAGCTCTAATGATTAACGTTTTCTGAATAGGAGTGACAGGGTTTAAAAATTGCTTATTAATGCTGTCCTGTGTCAAATGAATGAAAATTGTCCTCCAGCTTTTAAAAAGTATTCAGTGAGTGGTATTTTGTTTTATAATAGTTCAGTTAATGGCAGCATCCACCTGGTCATCAGTCAGTGGGCTTTCATTATAATGAAATGTAGCTGATTCTTTTCCTGCTTTGACAAGAAACATTTTATTGAGATTTCTGGGTTCTTCTGCCTGTTAAAGATTCATTCAGATGTTCAGAGGGCAGTGTTTAAAGTTCAAAAGAATTTTTTTATTCCCTCCGTTTTCTTTGTGAAAATGCTTTATGCCTTACAACAGTAAGCAAAACCACGTAGTATTCTTCTGAGTTGTAAACTCATGAATGCAGAAGTGTAGTGTCTAGAAGCATTAAAACAATAATCAAGATTAATAGTTATGAAGGGTTCAATAGGAACCCTCTTGAAGTTCTAGGAAGATAGATTTTAATGCTGCATATGACTTCAGAGAAGTTAGCTTTGTAATTTGAACTCTAAAGTGAATCAAGAACACTGGCCTTTCAAGTTTTCAAACACTCAAAAATAGCAGCCAACTGAGCTGCTACAGTATATGGACCTTTACTGAACACAGTAGCAGCAAATAATTGTTTAGCAGATGTAATGACAGTACTTTTTTCTTTCCCAACTTCTGGATGATTGTAATAATTGAAATGAGCAGGTGAGGAAGTGATTGGGAATGAAAGACAGCAGAACTCTTAGTAACAATTAGTTGAAAGAATGAAAAATTTGAAATGTTCACATATGCATGTAAGTGGATCAAGTTGTTTCAGTCCATTAACCACAGATAATTTTCCATTTTAATGTCAGCTCTGGAGCATAGTTCAATAAATCCTGTTTTCTTATAATGCATCCCTGCTTATGGATATACCTGATAACCAGTAAATGTGATTGAATGAAATGTGCATTTTAATTAGATGGATATGAGCTTGTACCTATTTGAATTGCATAGTTTTAAATTAGTTCTTAATTTTAGCAAGTGCTTTCAGAGATTCTTCATCTTTCTAGTCATCAAACCTACGCATTGTGCTTGGCAACTTTTTAGATTTTTCTTTTTAATGAAATGCTTTAAACCTTTGTTCCTAGCAAATAATAGGTATAAATAAAATATAAGATGAAATTTTATTCTGTTTAAGATCTCAAGTTATTTCATGCTGTGGACAAACATCGATGCTGCTGGGTAGTAAGGGTAAACAAAACCAAGAAATGTTGAGACATTTGACCTTCAGAGCACTAATCAGGATCTGTCTAATGTTGCTTGGGAGGCAATGACAGTTACTTTTTTCTTTTCCAACTTCTGAATGATTGTAAAAATTGAAACGAGCAGGTGAGGAAGTGATTGGGAATGAAAAATTATGTTCCTATAAGCATGGTGTGCCCTTCCGAGAAGGACTGGGGATATGTAGCCTCCTTCGGTGCTGCTGTGTGTGGCATACTGTTTCCTGTGTTGCACAACAGAAGTTGCTTCTTCCCTCTTCATCCTTGTCAGTGTTATAACTTTTGCTAGATTGGTGTTATGAACCACTAGTTGGAGTTATTAGCTTGACTTCTGGATCATTTCAGTAAGGAGTTGCATCAGCTGAAGTGCTGGCTTAGAAGACTATTAAAGAAAGGCATGTTGTACAAGTTTAAAGGAGGATGTTTCCAGACTTGTGTTTCCTATAGACACAACAGAATCAACTCAGCCTAAGAATCAGATGTTCCTGGTGTGTTTGAGGGGGTTTTGTTTTTCCTTTGGTCATGTATCTATTGGAGAAGATTAAAACAGATCTTATGTATTTGCATATATAAAGGCAAAGAGGCCAAAGGAAAAATTAAACAGAAAAATGCATTGCTGTTTACACTGCAGTAGTGTATTACCATTTGTATGAAGACATCATTTTTTCCAAGGGCATCATCTGGAAATGATGTGTTGAAATTTAGTTGCCAAAGTAATATTTTTGTTAGGAACCTGCTCAGGGATTGAATCTGTGTGCAAACTACATAGCACAAAATTAGATTGTACTCTGTCTTGGTTGTTGTACAGTTGGTCACTGCTTTTCTGTTCTGTATTTGTTTTGATTTCTTAACATAGGGGAGACTTTAAGTCTGCTAGATGTCTGTGAGCTTCCGTCTCAAAGACTGAAGACTTAAAGTGGTTATGGGGGCTGCTCTGAAAGTAATGCCTCTTACTTCATTATCTTGACCCACGATGTCAGGGGTGGATGTTGGTAGTACAGCAGTAGAGTCTGAACCTTGCCACCAATATGCCACTACATGTTGTTGCTCTGTGACAAATGGCAGCAGAGGGGCACTGACAAAGTGGTGTCTGACGTGCAAGTGCATTTAGAGCAAAGGTGTGACACTGAATTCTCCCAGGCATAGAAGAGGCACCCATTGACATTCTTTAGCACATCCTGAACACTTATGGGGGCCAAAGAGAGGTTGTGAGCACAGTGAGGTGGTGGATGATGCATTTCAGCAGTGAGAGTGGGTCACCTCCACTGGTACAGGTTTTTATAAGTGTGGCATGCACGGTGTTGTTCATTGTTGATGAAAAAGCACAGCTAATGATGGTGACTGTGCTGAAAATTAGTATTCTGTAGCTGAGAACTTGCTCTATTGGATAGTGTTATTGTGCTCTTTGTTTCTGTTGTATTACTGTAAAGATTTTCAGGAACTTTGGTAGATGAAATTATGCTGGTGTCCTCTTGAGGAAACCTTTATGTTTCAGCCTGTCTTTACTCCTAACCTATGTCAGCTTAAAATAACAGTTTCTAAATGGGCTAGAGTTAATTATATCAAGTGAAGATTTGGTAATAGCATCTGATCTTTCCTATGGAAGATTCTGTTGGGCCTAAAGTAGGAAAAATGATAGTCTTATAACTCACCAGTATACAGTAGAGCAATTACATGCAATTCAGCTCTTCTGACATGATGGTGGAATGTTCTATAATAGTAAAAACTATGGTTTTGATCTCCAAATGTTAGCTTCGCTGCAATAGTAGCAGTAATCACATCTTCACTCTTCCATGACCATCTTGTTACAGGAGTTTGCACTTTCAGGGTCTGAATTTCATTCTCTTGTGTTATAAGGTTTTAAAATGTAGCAAATGTCAGCTAAGAATATTTTGGGTGTTACTGTGATCTTTGAGTGTTGCCATTAAGTAAATATCTGCATTTATTAGCAATGCATTAGTGTTAATTTTCAATTAAAATTACCTAATACAATTGCTAAAAAACTATTGCTGAAAGAATGTTCTTGAAATAAATGTATTGAACAGAAGCTGTTGACTTGTATAATATTTTGCTATCTTTATTTGGATTCTGAAGGAAAAAGGGCTTGAGAGGGGCTTTAAATAAAGCAACTCAGCAAGCAGTTTGTTAAACACAGATCAGTAGAAATATTTCTCAGCTTCCAGTGGAAATGGTAATCTAGAGCTGTAGTATTTGCTTCTTAAGCACTGACAATCTAAAAATTATAACCAACTATATGCAAATAACTGATTAAATATGTCCCTTTTCAAACAGTCATGGAAACAAAGGAGAAGCAATTCTTAAAGAAATATGAACAGTATATTGCACTTTGATATTCATGTGAACACAACTTTAGGAATGAAATTCCTTTGTTTAGCAGTCTCTGACTAGCAGTTAATACTAGGATAGTTTAAGCACTTAATGTTTTAGCCATGACTGCAGTAGTGCTGTTCTCAGACTCCCCTTTTTTTTTTTTTTTTTTTTTTTAAACTTAGTGCTCATGTTTTCAGAGCTTGGAGGAATCCTACATTTTTCTTTCAGGTCTGGAAGAGGGCGAAAGTTAAGTGGAGACCAAATAACTTTGCCAACAACAGTGGATTATTCATCTGTTCCCAAACAGGTAATTGCTTCAGTGGTAGGTGACTTATCACTTTAAGTGATTGTCTGTTATGCCAGTTCTACTGTCTTAGCAAGATACAACAAGACAAGTTTTTACTTGCAAATAACATTAACTTTTACTGTTCACTTCTCCAGCCAGAAGTAGAAGACTGGTCTTCATGGGATGAAGATGCACCTACCAGTGTGAAGATTGAAGGTGGCAATGGTAACGTGGCAGCTCAGCAAAATGCTGTGGAACAAATGGAACCCGATTATTTTAAAGATATGGCACCAACTATAAGAAAAACTCAAAAAGTAGGTATAGAGCTTTCAACTGTACTTACTGAGGGCTTTAAGATAGGCTATCAGTAAATTGGCAGCCTACATACAGTACTGCAGGCAAAATTGTGTTGCCTTGTTGAAATGAGGATAGTAATTTAACCCATCCACTTAAAATGCTGATTCTGACTCAGATGAGATTCTAGTTTGTGTTTACATCTTCTGTTATAATGTTCTTGGAAATTTATTATGAACTTCATAGTGTGAGTGTTACAGGAAGTATAAAGGTGAAAACCCTCAAATCACTTCTAGTTCTGAAGCCAGAACCCCTGCACTAAGCTACCTTCCATACCTTAAAGTTATTTCAAAAGAGACATTCTGTGTCCTGCTCATACTGATGTTTGGCATGGTAACTGCTGTTTCAGAAACTAGTGGTTGTTTTGTCAGTTATTGAAGCAAATGGTATTAGGGAGCTGATATTTCAAAATAGTTTGCTCTTCAAAGATCAGATTTTGTTATGGAAGCAAGTCTGAAGAGTGTCTCCACAATAGCATCCACACTATGAACTTTTCTGTTTTGTTTCTGTATTGAAATCTAGTTAGGTACATACAGGTCTTTGAGTTGACTGAAAAACTTTTGCACCAGATCAAGCTGCCCAGAGAGGATGTACAGCCTCTTTCTGTGTAGGTTTTCATAACTCAACTGCATAAACCAGAGCTAATGACGCTTTGAGCAGGATGTTGGACTAGAGACCTCCTAGGTCCCTTCTGACTTTGATTCTCCTGAGCTTCTATGAACTGGAGATGACACTTACCCACTTGTTTCATTTGGCCTACTTTACCTCTGCACTGCTTCCAGAAGACATAGATCTCAATTTCTTTTACTGTGCACACACTCATACCTGTGGGTAAGTGCATGTCTTGAGGTCAAAACAGATAAGGGAAATGTGAACTTAGCAGCCATGTTAAACTTGTTAGCATACCTTTCAAGAGGAGCATTAGTGCTCATTTTTCTGCCAAATTAGTACAGAGCTTTACCAGTTGATAGGATAGCAAGTTGCATTTTGACTGTTGAAGCTTAGGTTGTCTGCACAGCAGTGCTGTTGATGAACCTGAGATAGCTTGTGTTCTAAATCAGTTTAGTTGTTCAGTGCTACCCCCAAGTGTACTATCTCACTTTGACCAATCATGAAAATGGGATTTTTCCAAGGAGTGTCTAATGTAATTACTAGCTCATGAATACTGATGAGATGTGCTAATTGGATCTTGTTTTGTGCCCCTTCTGTGTTTTAATACAATCTGTTTTCATGTGACTTAAGTAACAGCTATTGGGTGGAGGAGGGAATTCTTGTGTCTTGTGCATTTTGCTTCTCCTGCTTGCAAGTTGATTCAGCTGTACAGCTTCCAGAACCTGAGCAGATTTGAGGCAGTGCAGTGTTGTATGGCACTGCTTTCATAGGCACAGACCTGTATGGTCTCCAGGGAATCTTTGACCTATCTCTTTTTTTTTTTCTTTTTTGTTGTTGTTCTCCAGATAGTTATTAAAAAACGAGAGCCTTTAACTTTTGGAGTTCCGGAAGGAAACGCAGGATTCTCTAGCAGATTAGCAGCTACACAAGATATTCCTTTTATTCACCAGTCTGTAAGTGCACTCAAAATATTTATCTGTTATTTGACAGGTAAATGACTGTCTAAGAATATTCTGTGTTGTGGGGAGCAAAAGGAATAGTTGTGGAATAAAATAAATGCTTTTTACATTGAGTATTTGATTCAAACTAATGAAGTGGTTGATCTAATTTTAACTAACTTTCTCTGTTGTGAAGCTTAACAGACCAATGGTTAAAAAGTAGGAAGTTTTAAAGTGCCTGTTTACTAGCAAATCCTCTAAACCAATGGACTATGCATTTTTTGGACTTCACACAGTAAGTTCCTAGTGAAAGAGTAGAGTTTTTTTTTTTCTAGAAAGCCTCTGGGTTATCTTAGCTTTATAATCTTGTACCGATTTTTAACCTTCTCCTTCTCCCTTCTCCTTCTGTAGAGTTTGTCTTTGGAAAGTCTTCTAATTTTACTCCTTAACAAACAACATCTAGAGGGAAATGCTTGCTTTCTTCTGCCTTCTTTAACAGTGTTCTGTTTAACACACTGGATGAAAGATCCAGGCAGAAAGCAGTACAGAATGGTCATACTGCTTTCTTGGATTGTCATAATGAAAATAATTCAGGACAGGACTTTGTTGAAGAAAAACATCGTTCTGAGGATAATGGACAAATGTGGATATACGTGTTGGTTTGTCTATGCAACTCCCAGAAGTCCTTAATGCCATCTGCTTAACTTGTCTTCTCCTTCCTAAAAATGCACTGTAGTGCTTCCTTCTTTCCTTTGTTCACCAGCAATAGAATCTAAAGATTTCTGCTAACAATATAAAGGCAAAAAAAACATCAGTTTTAGAACAGGGAATAACAAATTCGTGATAACCGAAGGTATCTCATATATTTCTGGAAGTCTGAAGCATCAAGGTTAAAAATAAGTGCTTTTTCTACCTTTTTGTCCATGTTGTTAGAGCTTTTCTTGTTTTGTTTCAGCCTGAATTGGGAGATTTGGATACTTGGCAAGAAAATACTAATGCCTGGGAAGAAGAGGAAGATGCTGCCTGGCAGGCGGAAGAAGTTCTTAGGTAACTGAAAATTGTGTAGCACCACATAAACTTTTTTAATGTTGAAGAATCAAGTGCAGGTTTGTTTGTGATAGTGCTTTTCTAGTTCTCTGTGTCTTACAAAACTAGTGTGAATACCTTATCTGTTTTCTTCTGTTTGCTTTTCCCTTTTAAGAAGTTGAAAGAGTACGAATGGTAACAAGATACAGACTGAATTTAAGCTAATTGCACACAATGTTTTGAATTGGCAGTGACTTCTGTTTCTCTGTTTTATTTCAAGCTTTAATATATAGTGATGTAATAGTGGAAGTTATGTGATGATGGATTTTGTTGGGTTGTTTGTCTTCCAAGGACTGCCTTTCTTGTCAGGAAAAGTGGCAGGCTCAGTAAGATCTTTAGTATCAAAAGCACAGTCCACTGAGGCAGTGGTGCACCAGACATAGCCAATGAAAGACAGTGGGACTGGGAAATGAAATAACTTCTGCTGTCTGCAGAGGCTGCATTGTATTTTAGTGAAATCTTGCCGCGTTCCATTAAGATCTGTTTTTAAGACTATTAGAAACAAGTGATTAAGCTTTCCCAGGCACAGACTTGTCCTAGAGAATTTACCTGCTGCTAATAATCTAGTATGTGCATGTGTCAGTGTATTTCTGGAGTGATAATGGTCTGCGTAGTCGATTTTCATGGGATGGCCAAAGGCGTATTGTTTGCTATGGTCATGTTCATGCTCTAGAATACAGAGTGAGAGGGACCACTTATGTGGGAATAGCAGTGGCATTTTCCCCTGACTCTGTTTTTCAAATTTCTCATCTTACTTGATAGAAACTGTTGTAAAGATTTGAGCCTGACATATTTTTACAACTGAAAGGCTTCGGCTCAAGTTGTGAACTTCCAGACTTCCTACTCTGCCCCACTGAACAGTATTGAGCTTTACTTGCTTTAGCAGGGAAGTATAGGTGTCAAATATTTCAGGTAAATAGAGTATGCTTAGAACTGTGTGTTTTGCATATCTCTTGGCCTGCGATGAATGGCTGCCTCAATACAGCTGATGACTGTGTGAGTTCATCCCAGCTGTGTGAAGAAAACTGTTGTTCTATTCACAACACGCTGAGTTAGTGTTTTTCTTTAATTGAGGAAAATGCTGGCTGATTTTTAGCAAGATTGGTAGGAAATACCTTCTGGATTTACAGTCTGTCTTGCAGTAGACATCTGTGGTGTAATTAACATCCAGAGTTTTAACACATAACTTTAGAACATGACAGCCCTGGCTCTATTTTTCAACAGACTGTAGTAAAGAAGCGATCTGGAGTCTATTCTTAATGCTAAGAGACTGAGTCTTGATCTACAAAATGATCTGTAGTTTGTCATAGGCTTTCTATTGAGATGATCCTGAGAGGTGGTAACTTCATGTTGAAAGTTTGGAATAGAGTTCAGAGAATAATGGCCAAGTGGCAGAGCAGAGGAAAGGTGATCACTGTGTGGTATGCTGCATGTATTTATTTTTGGTGACTCTGTATCACCTCCAGCAGAAGCTCTCTACTCATCTGGACTTTATTAAAGTCTAGTAAAATTACTCAGCCAGCAGAGGGCATGGAAACCTCACACAGGAATCTGTGTAGTGTTCTGCCTTGTGCAGATCATGTGGTGGGGAAGAAGACACTGCCTGCTTGACTCTCTTTACTTTGCAACAGCAATTGCATAGAAGAATTGCTTAGCATTTCATGTGGCTCTATGGAACTTCACTATATCTATGTGACTCTTCCCTTCTGACTGGGAGGTGTAGATCTTGCTGTAAATTACAAGCTTCTTCCATGGCAGCAGAGCAGTTTATTAGAGAATAGGAGAACTTCTGTCAGTTAATTTAATAGCAGTCCCTCTCCTCCTACCACTGTCAAACACAAAAATAATATGTAGTCTTTGTTTGAAGTTGTGTGCTCAGTTTGTCTGTAACTGAAAATCTACTGAAGCAGGTTATCTCAGTGCAGCCAGCTTTAACTTTTCTGTTTTACACGGTTGAATGCATGTGTGCAGCTAGCAGATTTGAAAGTAAACTCCTTGCTGCTGTATCTGTCTAAGGAACGGGGGCTGTTCAGTCTGGGGGAGAGGGGGCTGAGGGGAAACCTTACTGCTTTCCAATATCTGAAAGGTGCTTCCTGTGATGTGGGGTTGGTCTCTTCTCACTGATGACAGGTGACAGGATAAGGGGAAATGGCCTCAAGTTGCACCAGGGTAAGTTTAGGTTGGATATCAAGAGAAACTTCTTTACTGAAAGGTTGGAATAGGTGGTTGAGTCACCATCCCTGAATGTGTTTAAAGACTGTTTGAATGTGGTGCTCAGGGACATGATTTAGCAGAGGGTTGTTAGAATTAGGATAGTATGGTTGGACTCAATGATCTTTAAGGTGTTTTCCATCCTGAGCAATTCTATTGTATGATTCTATTAGATTTCTTCATTCTCTTTTAATTAGTTGCTCTTTATTCTTATCAAATCTTTATGAAGTTTACTCTTTCCCAATGAATGACGCTTTCATTCTTCTTTTTTTTTTTTTTTTTAATTGTAAAGTCACTCTGCAAGCAGCTTGGCCATTTTTTTTTTTTCTCTAATAAGGAGAATGTTGACTCCGTGCTACTCAGTAATGTGTTCCCTCTTGAAAGGGAAGTAGAAACTGGAAACTCGTTTCTTCAGATTCTCTGATCTGGCAGCTAGTAACATTTGCTGTTTAGCATTATTTCTTATCACTGCTTGAAAAAGACACACAACTGAAGACTTTCTTATTATTTTCTACTTCCTTAAAGGCTGTATTTGTATTGAACAATAGAGCACAACACAAATCCTGAGCATGTGAAAGGGAATGTTAAGTAACCTCATCTGATCACAAGGAAGACGTCTATAGCAGTTGTGTATAAAAAGGATGGCTGCAGGTGCTTCTGCTGGCGAAAAGGCGAGGCACAAACTTCATGTTCTGAGTTGAATCATGTTGATCTGAATTTGAAAAGAAATGGGTAATTTCATTATTAGACAGATCTTCCTAATTAGTTCTAGTCTGATACTTGCACTAATTTGCTTAATCTTTGAGAATTTAGTTGCTTTTAGATTGTAAAATATTTTGAAGAAATGTTATTGTCTAAGAGTAGATTATCCTGAGAAAAGGACTTCAGTGTGATGAAATACTAACTCTTCTGAGACTAACTACAGTTGACTAAGGCTCTGTTCTTTATTAGTTATAATAATGTATTTGTTAACTATGCTGAAAATAGGACTCCTTCAGCAGTTCATTTTTTCTCTAATTACAGACAACAGAAGTTAGCAGAAAGGGAAAAAAGAGCAGCAGAACAACAACGAAAGAAAATGGAGAAAGAGGCCCAGAGGTTAATGAAAAAGGAACAGAACAAAATTGGTGTAAAACTCTCCTAACAGTAACCAGGCATCGGTGGAAGGATTCCACTTCTACAACATGCATACTGGTATTAATTTAAGTATTTCCAGGACTTCAAGTCGCTGCTTCGTTTCAGTGCATTCTTCAAGTCATCTTGGAAGCCAGAATTCTCCCCAAATATCTTGAACTACTAATAGGTAGTTCTTCAAGGGAAAAAAACAAACCCAAAACCATACAAAATCATGCCTTGATGGAATGAAATTTCCTACAATAATTCTATTCCAGTACCCTTCTTTGCAGCAAACATGATTGAGCAAAAGTGATTGAGAGACACTCTTAATGAACAGCTCCAGCTGAGGGAAAAGAATGTAAATATTCTGTGGTGGGGAATCTACTGTATTGTCTGTGCTTACCTGAAACATGTAATTAAACAGTTTTAAATAATCTTTTGCTTCCTACCTGATATGAGTGTCTGCTTTTTCTTTTTTTTTTAATAAAAGTATTTATACATTTAGAATTATCCATTAGAGATCATACTGACCTGGACAGATGAGAAGACCTTGTTGTGGATGACCTTAAGTGTACTCCTGGCAGTGTGTGCTTTGGTGGAGGAAGGGTTATAGATGAGCTCTTAATTGGATTTCCCATCTTTTTGTCTCTTGCAGCTTCCTGTGCTGCCATGCCTACTGACAACACTGCAGTGGCTGCAGGCAGTGGCATTGCTGTATGACAGTGGTGCATTCTGTTCATCTGTTACAAAGGCTGATGCGAGCATAGGGGAGTAATTCATTTCATTTGTGTTGGTAATTTTGCATTTCTAGCACACTGCTTTACTTCCTACAGCTAGTAAAGATGTAGACTTCATACTCATGGCATAGGTAGTGTAATTGGGGAAAAAAGTCTTCATATTAATAAAGCTAGTGTGGAAGTTCGTAGTTCTGTTAACAGTGTTTCTCAGATTCCTTCCGCCATGGCAGAGAACTGAATGTTGGGTAAAGATCAGAGCAAGGTTTTTACCTGCTGTGTGTTGGGAGCTGTGCAGCCTCTCCCTGAATGCAACTGAATGCTTTCTCAGAACTGCACAAGGTGTTTTTAAAAGCTGGAAGCAACTTTGATGTTATTATAGTGTTAGCTCTGTTTTTTAAACAGCACATCTAAAAAACACTGCTGCTAAATGGAGCCTGCCATAGTGTGGTTGAAAATCAGTTCAAGCTGTTGGAATTTTAAACATTAGAGAGGTTTGTGCTGCTCTGTTACCTTCTTGCTACAAAAGGAACCTGGGCAGTCACAGTGAATGTTTCTCCTGGACATGAAGATCACTTTCTCTAATATATGATGCTCCATTTCCTCACATTTTGAAATAGGACCAAAGCATTTTCCATATTGTTTTTTTCAGTCACAACAGGAGACATTTAGGAATAATGGAAAGCCACGTTTGTATGAAATTCATGGAAAAAGGAAGCCTATTAATATTAATTTTGGCCCTTTTGTCATACCTAATTAAAGAGAAAAGCGATTGCTGCCATTGAGTACTTGCTATGTGCTGCCCCATCATTCCTTCTCTTTGTGGCTTACTGGTAACAGCCCAGCTCTCAAAAGCTGCAAAGCAATGCACAGTACCATCAGGCCTCATGAGATCTCTTCTGGCCCGGACTGCAGAGGAATCTTGCTTGGCTGTAGGTGAGAGCAAGGGGGCAGCAAGGTTTCGGTGGCTAGAGATATTGCTGGAAGTTTGCACGGAGCCAATTCCACCATGTCCACCTGATGTCACCTCTTCTTAGGAACAGATCTCAAGTTTTGGGCACGGAGAGTTTATGGCTTGAGGGCCACAGTGCATCTCAGTGTGTACTTGGGACTTCGCAGCTCTCGGCCATGTTGCACAAAGCCTTCTAGATTTCTGTGAAATGCCAGGAAGCCTGATACACTTCTTGAAGGGCTGAGATGAGAAGTTACAAGTTGGGATCGCACTGAGTTAATAATTAGGCCCCTTGCTTCTGTCAGTGTGGTGTGGGTGCGGCTGAGGGGGCAGCAGCTGCATTGCTGACCTAGCACAGCCCTCTGTGCAGTGCTTCCTCTTGGAGCTGGAAGCAGGTTTTTTTCAATCAAGCTCTCTCCAGGATGCTACGGCTTCCTTACGCCCTGATGCGGTGCCTCTCCTGCTCTGAATGTGCGATGTCTCAGCTGAAATGGAGTATTTTTTAGCAGCTTCGCTACAATGAAGCACTCACAGATTCTTAACATTTCTAACATGCTTTACTGAATTTGTGATTATAAAGGTAATTTACAATAAAGCAATTAAATAAACAATAAGTTAAAACACAACACATTCATAGATGGTATTTCACAGGGTTCAAATGACTATCAGGTTCCAATACATTAAGACTCCAAAACGACATTAAAATTCAAAGTGTATCCACGCCTATATTTATCGTCCTAACAGTTTCAAGACTCCCAACAACTGAACATTGTGGTTACAGTCCTTATACGCACGAGACTGGTGGAATGCTCAAGCAATTGCAGGATTTAGAAGAGCACTACACAAGACAGGCATGAAGGATGTGCTGGAAGCTGTCGGGAAATACAGTTTTTTTCTTTAAATTGGATTGATGCTTCAGACAACAAATGGCAAGCGCTAGCATGCTTTTTAGAGTACATGTGTGATACACTTAGTGGAAACGAGTCTCCATGTTACTTAACACTGTAGTTTCACAAATGTTTTGTTACTGTTGCCTACAGAAATATCCCACCTTTCCCTGGCCTTTTGTTCCCATATGCACCTCATGCTGCCTGTGAGGCAGAGCACAGAGTTTGTGCATTTGCTCAGTGAACTGGACAGGGAAAGGGAGATGAAGGCTCACTCAGCAAACAGCCACAAAGCTGTGCTAGCTCTCTGCTGTCCCCTATCCTCGTTACTGTGTGGATGTGCTGGTCTGAGAAAAGCACCAGCAGAGGCAGGGACCTGGTGACTGGGAGCAGGAGGACTACTATAGGCAGCAGTACTGGGCTGTGTCAGTTGAAAACATCCTGTGGAACTACAGGGTTCAATTTTCTTCATTTGGAAACAAGAATGTGTTTTTGAACCAATTTATAGTGCAAATCAAGTATTCAAGAGCAAAACAATGGACTCTGCCAGAATATACAATATCTTTTTGTATCTCTCATCCCCCACTCTCTACCTCAGCCCATTGCTGCCCAGTGACAGCGGAATTTAGGTTCTAATATTGAAGGGTGTACGACGCAATGAGTGCAGGGCCACCAGGCAGCACCCACGGAGCAACGCTCCAATATTGTAAATGGGATCTACTCCTCCTCTCTGAGTACTAAATACCCACATGACAGTGGGTACAATGGGGGCTGCTACAGCCAGGAGATCTACAAGGAGACTGCCACTCCAGTGCCTCTGCATTATTCCTGTCTCAGAGGCAGTATTTACATACCCAAACACTTCATCACGCATTTCCGTAAAATCAAGTTCTTTCATGCCATGATTTTCATCAACTCCATAATCCACCTTTCTGCATGGAGACTCCATAGGAGACAAAAGGATAGCAGAGTTTGGATCACTTGGAGTTAAGTCCACTACTATAGCAGAATCACTAAAGCTTCCAGAAGAAAAATCACCCAATTCCTTCAGTGAGGAAGGCGGGCTCAGAGGAGAGACGTCTTGAGATCCGAAGATGTTCTGAATGAGCCGCTCCACATTTAGGCTGTATGGCACCACGTCGGTCTGGACGGACTGTTCCACCATCACGATGTCGCTCCTCTCTTCCTTCCTAGAAGACCTCAGTTCTTCATCAGGAACGCTTTCAAGCATCTCTTGATCCACAGCAGAGATGAAGAAAGCTGGATCAGCCAACTCAGCACCTGCAGTGGTGAAAGTCTCTTGAAACAAATCGTTCCCATTAGCTACATCCTCATTTAGAAGCACCCCACTATCAACCTCCAAAGCTTGCTCCTCCGCGATGAGGGTGTCTGGCAGCTTGGCATACAGTGCCAGTGGCTTCCCTGGTGCGTCAGACACATCCTCATCCCGCAGAGAGCCGTTCTGAGCCATCTCCATGCTGTGCAGCAGAGATTCCAGTTTCTTGTTTTGAATGTTTATGTCTATGAAATATTTCTGAATGCCTTTGTCTTTCTCCGCCAAGTTGTTTTTCATGGTTTCAATAACCTGCTTGAGTTGTTTAATTTCCTTTTTCGCTTCCTTGAGGGCCAGCTGTGCCTCCACACGATGACACTCTTCTTCAATCCAGTCTTCCCTCATGCGTCCTAGCTGAGTTTTGAGCTCTTCTATTTCAGTCTCCCTGGAGAAAGAGAAAAATGTAATACTTCTCTGACTGGTCAGTTAGTGCCAGCTAGTGGAGAGGCTCCACAGCACTGGGATGGCTGCAGAGATGCTCCAGGGAGGAGGCACATTCCTCCAGACACCACCTGCTGCCACTCCCGAGAGCTGTAGGTGGCCTGCCAAGACTCACTGGTTGCTGACTGAGGACACTGACCTCCGCACACAGTCAGCAGACCTGTGGCAAGCTTGGGGGTCGTGCTACAACCCCTGACATCTTGAGGAGCAAGCGATGGTCTGTAGGTTAGATTCCATCAGCACAGAACCTGCACCTCTCCTACTGCCTTGCCCCACAGGAACTGAGAAATGGCCTCCTGGGAAGCACGTGCCATGCAGTGCCTGCGCCTGCGAGCAGCTCTGTGTGTACAGCCAGAGCTGACGCTGATGTGACGCGGCAGGAAAGCTGCACTCCTCAAAGATGCAGAGGTCGGGCTGTACCCCTCAGGACTGTGGGTTCCACAGGACTCAGCCTGCGAGGCCATTCAAATGCACTGTCACTTGTTCACATTGTATAATGCATTGTCACTTCTCAGCATCAATACAAAGAGCTCTTCAGAAAAATTCAATATAAGCAAGAAAAACACAAGTGGGCACACTGGTTTGTACAAGAGCTTTTCTTTCATTACAGAAGAAGGAGCACATTTTGAAGTCGTACTTCACTGACAGAGGTAGTATAGAAGACTAAAGTAATATGAATTTGCAGGGACAAAACTTTTATATATAAAAGGTCTTGATTCTAAATCAGGCTGATAAAAAAATCCCTTGAAAACATTTCATTAGGCAATTTCAAAGAAGGGAGAAGAGCCATGCTTATATATACGCTGCATGGTGCATGTTTACCGAGCAAACTATGAAACATGAAATACCTTAAAACAACCAAACTGATCACATTCTAAATTTATTAGTTGAAACTTTACAAGGTCAAGAAATCTGTAAAACATTCAGGATTCTCATCCCCAAAAGCTCCTGAATAAATCTTTGTAACTCCTCTTTCTGAAATGAAATGTACCTTTCCTTGAGCTTGCTCTGAGATTCCTTCAGCTTTGTTTTCAAATGCCGTACTGTGACTTCCTTCTGCTGCAGAGGAGTCAAATACTGCTCTGGA